AGTAGCACACACATAAGAGTGGCTCCATTTGACCCGGCAAGGGAAAGGAGCCACCCTAAAACAGGATATAAAGGCCAATGCTCAGGGGAGCAACCTTCTTCTGCAGGAAGCTGAAACTTTAACATTAAGGAGCATCATCCATTGTAAGTGGTTTCATCCACATTTGAAATTGCTTTAAAACATTTTGACTTTAACAATTTTTAACTTTACAATCTCAATACAAATTAGTAAACTAAACGTGAGATTGTAGTCCATCACAGGAGCGAGCTTGGAGCTATGGCTACTTTACAACACACACAGGGACCATGGGGAAGAAAAGTAGCCACCCTCCAGAAGGAAGAACAGTGTCAGCACCAATTCAGAGATGATTTGAGGATCTACAGCTGAGTGATACACAAATAAGATACATTGAGGGGATTTAATAAAACTGGAGCAGACAGAATCTTGAGCAGTTGTCCATGGCAACCAATATGCTTCTCTCTTCAGTTTGCTCAATTAATATTTGAAAATGAAATGAGAGAAGCTGATTGGTTGTCATGCACAGCTGCTCAAGGTTTGGTCTGCTCCAGTTTTGATAAATTCCCCTCATTGCTGTTAATAGTTAAAGTACTTGAATGCATTTTTAGGATTTAACTTCTGAGTTTAGTGTCATTTTAAGTTCAGATTTACACCTTTGGAAACCCTAACCTTGAAATGTGACTGGTACCCTAACCATTGCATTTATAGCATAACTCCACGTACAAATGATTTTTTGACATATACTATATTCGAATAGATTTCTTCTAATGAGGGCTGTTTCATGTGTGAGTGTTCTAGCATTAGAAAAAAGCTCATACTCTCATTCATCTGCAACTAATGTAATTGCAGAATTTCCAACACTGCAAATCACAGTTCCGCCTCTCATACAGTCAAGAAGAGCATCGCTTTTCCCTCCGCCCCCCCCCCCCCCTCCATTCATAAAACATCTTTTCACAGACTACAAGGCATTCTGTGTTCGGACAGGGAGGGAGGAGGGGTGGATGAACATCTGGACCTCCCCTTGTCCAATCACATAACACCTTGTAGTCTGTGAAAAGAATACAAGAAGTTTTATGAATGGAAGGAAGAAAGAGTGAGAGTGACGCGCTTTTTGACTGTATGAGAGACGGAACTGGAACATCGCTGGAGGTTTGCCGATTACAGTAGCTGGGGAGCAATGAAAGTATGAGCTTTACCTAATGCTGCAGCAGCTGCACATGAAACATCCATCATAACAGGTAATTTATTAGTACATAGCAAATGTCAAAAAAATTATATTTTTAAATAGTATTTTAATTTTATTATTTGTAAAGCGTTACGCTTTAACCCTTAGCCTTACACTAGATATTACCCTCTTACATAAAACTGCATATTATCCCTTAACAGCTGAAGGGAAGCTCTAATGCACGTGTGTCAAGCGAGCACAAGGCTCACCAGGCCCTTTCATGTGGCCCACGCACCACTCCTACAGCTTTACATTTTTAAACCAAAGCCAGCACTGTAAACAGATATCAGGCTGCACAGGAAGGCTGCCGAGGTCTCCAGCAAATCTCCTCCTTCCTGTGGATCCATGCTGCCCGAACCTGCCGAGATCGACCAGGACCCCTTGTGAGACCGCACAGCCCTCCTTAAACACTGCACAGCCCACCATAGACCCTGGTCTGCCCACCTGCCCAGTCTTAGCCCACCCACCTGAGAGTCTGCATAGCCCACCATAGACCCCATATGGCCACCTGAGAGTCTGCACAGCCCAGCATAGACCCCGCACAGCCACCATAGAGTCCACACTGCCCACCATAGAACCTGCACAGCCACCTGAGAGTCCAGAGAGCCCACCATAGACCCCACACAGCCACCTAAGAGCCCGCACAGCCCAGCATAGAACCTGCATAGCCACCTTAGAGTCCCCATAGCCCACCCTAGGCCACGCACACCCCACCACAGAACCTGCACAGCCCACCATACATCCCACCTGAGAGTCCGCACAGCCCACCTCAGAGTCTGCACAGCCCACCATAGAACCTGCACAGCCACTTGAGCATCCACACTATTACACTAACTGCCATTATTTTTCCTAAACTTCTACTTTCAGAGCTAATTATTACATTATTACTAAAACCATTAATAATCAAATACAGAGACAATTATTAAATATGATAAAGGGTAGATACATTTATATAGACTTAGCGATAAAACTGGCCCTTTCAGGACAACCATAATGTTGATGCGGCCCACTGTGAAATTGAGTTTGACACCCGTGCACTAATGATTATGCTTGGTTGTAGTTTTTCCCTTTGTTACTGTTGTAGCGCTCACCCCCGAAGGAGCCGCTGAATATGAACTAGGGCTCTCCTGCCTGTTTTGCCACCCACCTGCCCCTTTCTCAGATCTAGCAACAACTGGCTTCTTCTTTAGCAAGCACCTGGGAATAGGGTGAGGGATCTCTTACAGGGTTCCAGACGGTAGCTCTCACCAGCTCCTCTGCGACACTCCTCCATAATTAGATTTCACCTCCAGCCCAGCTTCCATCAGGTCTCCTTTCAGCTGCATCTGAAGTCTCTGGGCCCCCAGCATCTGCCACTTACTGAGGTGCATACCAGATATCCAGTAGTGTCTTCTGCTTCTAGGCCCCCAACACCTGCCACGTGCTGAGGCCCAAGTAAAGCATCTGTAGTATCCTCGGCCTCTAGGCCCCCAGCACCTGCCATGTGCTGAGGCCCAGGCCAGTCAATTGCATCACACGGGCCTCCTCCCTTGGAGGGTCCCTAGGGCGGAGAGATCTCTGGACAGTGTCCCCAAACCTTTTATCACCCGCCCTCAGCCATACCTCTGAGTCATCCTACTCAGGGATTGGTCAGGGTCAGGTACACAGTCACAGTCTGAAGATGGATCCTCCCTCACTGTATGCTGAGTCCCCAACCCAGCAGGAGGAGCAATCAATCCAGAAAACGCAGGGACACCTGTAGAAAGCAGAACTCAGAATAAACAGCATCTAGACTGATTACAGTCCAGATATACACTAACAGGTCTATTCACAAAAGGGTGAAGAGTTTGGAGAAGGCAGGAGAAGGGAACAATCCAGGACAACATAGCTGAACTGGAAAGTGATCTGAATTGGAGAATTTTTCCAAATCGGCTATTTTGTCCTAGATTGTTCACTTCTCCTGCCTTCTCCAAGCTCTTCACCCTTTTGTGAATAGACCTGTAAATTTGGTAGCGACATACTAGAGGGCGCTACACTGTTTTTGCCTAACTGAATCTCCATATCACCCTAACAGACAGCCACAACAGGAAGTGAGAGGAAATCCCTCCAAAGAGAAGGAAAGGTCTGGTGGTCACCAGAATCAATGTCCCCATTTGAAGATTTCCCATCTATTCCTGTTCTAGTGACAGCCTAAATCGGGGGTGTTCTTTCACTGTCAGTGGTATAGGTAACCAGAAGGAATGGAGGGGATGAATCTCCATAACCGGTACACAGACAGCAAAAAGAACCTGACAGGTGTTCTAATCCACTCAATACAGCGCTGTGACCAGAGTGAAATGGTGATGGTCGTAGTGACAACCGCAGATGCAGTCATATCAACTCTCCCGGATCTTCCGGGAGTCTTCCGCTATTAGATAGCAGCTCCCGGACGAGAAACATGTTCTCTCGGAAAGGAAGTAAACCTTTCCGTGCTGTCTGTTTTTTTTTTCTGACATTGGGCCGCCGTCAGTCAGAAAAAAACAAAACGGCATAGGAACTAATAGCTAGATTCCTATTGGCTATTTCAATTTGCAATAGCCAACAGCAGACTAGCTATTGCACCTGCCCACTGCTTGCTGTATAATCAGCAGAGGTGGACCTGAAGTTCACAAAGTCGGATAGAAGTGACATTTCAGGACCGATCAGCTGTTCCGGGGCAGATCAGTTCTCCTGTACATGCCATCTGGGATGCCGATCTGCCCCGGAACAGCTGAAAAAGCTTTGAATCCTACACCTTTTGCCGGTCACATATTTTAACCCTGTAAACATTGGTGTGACAACGTTAGAATGTGTGACCATGTGACCGGTCACACATTCCACCGCCGCAAAACTTGGCGGGATTATGTTAAAATGTGTGATCACGTCACTGATTCTAACACAGTCACAAAGTTTGATAGAACAATAAGGGCACCTCCCTGAAATAACTTATTACTGGTTGGGATCCCTGCAGATGGCGCCATCCACAGGAAAATCAGAGAAGTCACCGCCACTCAATCCTTCAATGTGCAAATGTACTCTTTTTATTATAAATGTGTCACATCATAAAGGCTTGGCAGGGGAATTTGGTTATTTGACAGATGAGCTGCCCTGGATGAAAACTGTAATGTTCTGCCCCGGGCGCCAATAACTCTGGTTACGCCACTGCTCGGATGTATGGCCTGTCATTGATTTGTATAGACTGCTCACCCACAGCTCTTCATACCCACCAAAGAATGACTGATCCTGGGTGATGTATGGCATTAATCTGCCATGTTCATGGGTACTTGTGATTGAACTGGCATGGCATGCTTGGCCACTTGTACCATACACCTCTATATACGTTGAATGCAGCTTTATTGCAGAATCAATGTGTGCATGTGGTGTGTTTCCATGAGCTGCTATGCCAGTGTCAGGTCTGGCCCTCATGGTATAGCCCCGCCCGAAGCTGCCTGCTCTGGTATTAGGTGGCATATAGCCCTGTACACACACCAGCCCCGCCCCCTCCACACTCCCCGGCACATCCCATACAGGCGCCTTTTCCCCGCTCCGTGCTGTTTGTTTATAGGACAGCCTCTCCGGGCCCCGCCTACTCTCGGAACATACCATGTCTACAGCAGGGGAACCTTATCTATCATCACACCAAAATAGCACTCTTCGTTACATTTTCTGATAAGCCGACTCATCTGTATCCATATACGACCCACACTCGTTCTCTCGTAGCTGACAACCGTAAATCTGCCTTAAGTTCCGCACGGTATAGTTTCCGCCAGTCCACCTCTCCCCCCCGCCGCAAGATGGTAGGTGCCGCGGCGCGCTCTCCGCATCTTGGTGACCGTGTGGAGCCGGGCCTGACCCCTCATTGATTCCCGCCGGAAAGTGCCCGCTGAGCGGAATGTGTCAGTGAACGGAGCCCGGGCAGCACGCAGACCAGAGAGCGGCCCGTTACGTCACCGGCCGCCGCAATGGCGGACAGCGAGATGAAAGTTCCGGAGGACATGTTCAAAGATGTGAAGTTTTACCTGGTGGGGGAGCTGGACCCTCAGGTGAGGCGAAGGGGGACATGGGGGGAACCCCTTCTAGGTGCCCTGAGACACTGCTGAGCTAGCTACGTGCGCCCCTGGAGCTGTTTGGGATCTAGAAGTCCCCGGCCTCTGGCTGGCAAGCCATGCTGGGATTTGCAGTTTCCCAGCAAAGGGATAAGCACAGGGCGCTGCCAGGGAACTGATCGGTTCTGAATGCTACAACTATATGATCAGTTTCTGTCTGCCAGATAGTGAGCCTACTGTGTTGATCTGACCCGGATGGCGCATGAGGAGCACTTCCTGCCAAATAGTGAGCCTGTCATGGGGACTGAAGGGAATGACAGAGAGGGGGGGCAGATGGGGGAGATAGAAGAGACGGGGTATGCAGTAGATGAGTGAGACATGGGGGTGGTTAATGGGAGAGACATAGGGGGCAGATGAGACAGTATCAGGGTTTTCTTTTTACAGTACCTGATGATCTTCCAGAACTGCACTCTGCTCCTAATTTCCTGTTGTGGTCTGACACAGCATTTTTGTGGACTGACTGGTGTCAGCCCTGCCCAGCATCATTTGCCCAATGCCTCAAACCATTTACAGCATAAGGATCCATTTACAGCATAAGGGACGAATTGACTTGTATTTAAAGATAAAAAAAGGGGGAGAGCTAAATAGTCTCTTTAAGACAACACAGCGACACAGGACAGCTCTGAATAACTGACCAGATCAAGAAGTAGATTTTTTATTTTTTTTTGCACCTATAAAATAGATTTAACAAGACAATTCCAATGGTATATTTAACCGAACCAATAAGAAGTTCATTGTTGGGGTCTGCGTAAACTTTAATGCAATATCTCACACCATCCTGAGCACTTTATATGCAGAGGTTACCTTCAGTGAAAACCTTATGTCAGAACAATCATCTGGTACAGAAATGAAGGGAGAGGAACTTGTATGAAAGTCTTGACTTTTCCTGAACTGGTTGAACTTGGCCTCACTTCTACCTGTATTTCCCTTTGGCAGCGAGGTCACTGATCACATTAAGGACATTTGAAGTGGCTTGTGAGCTGGCGGGGACTAGTTTTGGGTTTTCCAGGATATAATGGGATTGCTTAGATTTACCCCAAGGACCTGTTCATAGATATGTGATGCGGTTCTCTGCGTTACCACAACGCACATCAAGACATACAGGTTGTAATATGCCATTTGTGCTGCATTTTCATTAAGAATGACACCCCAACGCACATATGCAGTGAGCAAAATTTGAAAAACAAGCGAGCGCCTTTCCTGGTGCAGGTAAAACCTTTCTATTCAAAGAAAGAGTAAACAGAAATATACTCACAAATAAGGCCGTATGGGAACGCATCACAATGGACTGACAGTCCTTGATTGAATAGCTGCTGTGGATGTGACAGAAGGAGAGATGGAGGAGACACTCAGGAGACTCTGTTCTCCTCAGAGTCCCACTGCTAATGCTTAGCGCACTTTTGGGGACACACCGCCCCCTTCCTCAGAGCTTAGACACGTCTAGCTCACTATGTGCTATTCTATACTCTACAGCCAGACAAAAAGATCACTAGCATCGAAATCCCACCAATTGCAGCCTAGCATAATGTTACTAGGGAGACAAGTAGGTAGCCAATCACAAAAAAGTGGACATTATCTCTGTCAGGGAAGCCACCCCCATTAACCCACTGACTGGACTGGGACAGCCTCTACTGGATACGCAGTGAAGGGTTCTGGCCTATGGATGGACTTCTTGGCGCTGGTCAATATATTTCAGTGAGCAATATTCAACCTGTGCTATAACATACCACACACGTGAACTATCTGTGTGTTCTAGTTCATGGTTTTTCTAGCTTCCAGGCGGGCTGCCATAAAGTGTATCTAAAACATTTAGGACAGCTTTCCAGAACCTGCACATCTCCCCATGTTATTTCTCCTTCTAGTAGACCTTGCACCCAAATGTCCATATATTAAACCGTGGCCCATCCCCCATGTCAAATGCCACAAAGAATGGGGGGGAAAACTGAGAAAAGTTAAATATTCTCGCCTTACACCTGACTTTCGCCATGCAGGTCATCTGACAAGATTCTGGGAATGCTGATGATCTGAAATCTCATCAGAAGATGCTCCTGGACTGTGTTGCAGAATCCTCTGGCGAGATTTGGGTTATTCTGCATTCCCAGGATCTCATCAGAAGGTGTGTGACGTCGCCCTCCCCTTTGTGGGAGCCAGGGTGTAATGAAAGTATACGTTTCTAACTTTCTTTCCCCGTGTGTGTTTTTTCTATATATGGGATGTAGATTTTTTGTAAGGAGGAGCATTGTTTTTGTAAAGGGACTAGCAGCTAGGTGCAGGGCCCACTGTAAATATGCTGCAATTTTATTTAAAAAAATACATGATGACTCCCTGGAGTATGCTGACAGCACTGCTGATCTGTGATAGGAGAGGGGGAGAAACATGTCAGCTGGTATGGGAGAGGATAGTGCTGAGAATGTAAACAAGGAGTTCTGGAGATGGAGAGAGGGATCTGCTGACATAGTCCAACTGGGGTGATTTCAGTGCAGTTATCTTAGCTGTTGTTGCTTAGCTTAAAGCCCAACTCTGTGCTCCTTACTGCTCCCCATTCTGCCCTGGAAGGTCTCCCAGTGTGTATCTTGTTTTTTATTTTCTGAAGTCTTCGGGCAGGTGAAGTGAAGCTGCAAGGTCCCATTTGCCTCTTCTCTGGCCCGGGAGATACTTACTGCTTCAGAGAGATGTGATGTCACCTTTGCTCTCTGCACCAGTTCACTGTGATTGAAGGGTGCTGTGGGAGACACCCCATTAAAAGGTGGGCTGATGGCGCCCTGTAGAGTCCTCATTCCGCTTGGGAGAGTGAGGTCATCTTGTAGTTAATAAGAGGTAGTGCAGGGGTCAGCTCCTGATTGAAGTTGTGTATTGCACCCAAAGCTGTTTTTTATTTGTAACACTACCTAGGGGACTTTATCTTCAAATATAAATGTAGCCTGAGATGGGCTTTATAAGAAATATGTATCACTAGAGACATCACATCATTGGTGTCAAGCATGGGGCTTCTCATGCAGGAATTTTTTTTTTCAACTGGTTGTTGCATTGTTGACTATTACATTCTCCCTGAACCTTTCTGACAGATGGTACAGAAAAAGCACTTTCTGCCAAGTGATGATGCTGTCATGTATACTATGGTTGCTGATGAAGATGTAAATGTTTTTCAGCCCTAGGGTTAGGAGGAGGTGAAAAGCTAATAACATTGTGACACATTTGTTCATCTGATACCATCATCTAGTATTGTAGGTATGGCCTTGAAGGCATCAGAAATACGTGTTATTGCAACAGAAATGTTCAGTATGTTTTCAATTAGCAATTGTTCTATTTTCATAAGGGCAGGTTCACACCATTTTCTGGACCAGATCTGGAACGCAGTGCATTGCGTTTTTGAAATTATTTTATTTATTTTTGCTTAAAATGGTCTTACAAGTGCGTGCCAGTGCGTTTGTATGCATTTATATGCATTCCAGTGCATTCCAAACCAGACAAAATAGGACAAGCTGTATTTTTCTGGTCTGGAACAGACTGCACTGGTGTGAATAGAGATCAGAAATAGCATAGGGAAACATTGGGATGCATTTTGGGTCCGGAAATGGTCTTGTCTGGAGATGATCCGGATATGGTGTGAATGGGCCCTTAAAGAGAACGTTCATGTGATGCAACAAAGCTTTAGGATGATAAGTTGCAGGTAACCAAGTGGTACGGCGACTTTGATAGAGGTGGGCGGATCTTTTGTGTCATAGACTAGAAGTTCTTCTGTTTCTGCAATTTTAGCTTCTGTTACTGTGATTCGTCAAATGTATTTTCTGTAACATTTTGCCTTTTTCCTCCTTGGTGTTTTGTTCTATGGCACCCCAGACTAAATAAAACGGAAATGAAAGAATGGATGTAGAGATCTTGGAGTTAGAAGGTGTTAGATGTGTGTTGCTGGTACACCTATCCAAGGTCCTGTAGCACACCTTACCGGAATTCCCATAGGCAAAACTGGGTGCTCGCAATGACTGCGGATGGCGCCGCATTAAGCAGAAATTGTTATGAGGATATGTCACCAGCACTCCAGAATGACAAACACGTCAATTTTAGTGAATCTCCATTTTTTAAGAGGTCACTTAAAGTAGAGTCAAGCGCTTTCGGGGCCAGTTCACTTTAAGCCTGATGAAGGGGACCCTGTGCGGCCCCGAAAGCGCTTGACTACTTTGAGTGACCTTTTAAAAAATGGAGATTCACTAAAATTGACGTGTTTTTCATTCTGGAGTGACGGGGGGTTGGCGGCGCGCACGGGGGGGTGTATTGCGGAACCTGGCCTTGGGGCGGCAAGGAGAGTAAATCTGGCCCTGTATATGGGAGTCGTTTTACATTAGTAAAAACGCATTAGTAAAACATAGCAGTTTAATATCGCCCTGCAGTACTCAGGGGAATAAGAATCGGTGAATGACTCGGTCCTTCGTATCCCCATATTTTACATGAACATAAAATATTACTTTTAGATAGTATTAGAGAGATTGACATTTACATGATTGCGGTGTCAAATTTTCATTATGGTATTTCATAAGCAGTCAGTGTATATGTATGTTAAAGCACAGCAGATACCCTTGCTGCACAGTTGCTCAGATATAGCTCATTAAAGCTTAAGAAGAAAATATTTTAGGACAGGTTCACACTATTTTCCAGACCAGATCTGGAACACGTTGTGTTGCGATTTCGCTGTGGTTTTTTGGGGGCTGTCAGGTATGTTCCAGCGTGTTTGCATGCGTTTCCATGTTTCCAGCAAATTCCAGACCAGAGGAAATGAGACCAGCAGCATATTATTTTTTATTTTTTTTGTCTGGTCTGAAATGGACTGCACTGGTGTGAACAGAGCCCAGAAATATCATAGGGATACATTGGGATGCTTTTTGGCCCAGGAACAAAATGTTCTGGTCTGGACATAATCCGGGCATGGTGTGAACAAGCCCTTACTGTTGTAATTGAATTGCTGTCGGTCTGTGCTGACCCAAAGACTTCAATGGAGATAAAAATGACATAATATATAAGAGAGAGACTCTGAGTGGCCAGATTATTATGACCACCTGACGTTTGTAGGCAAATTAGCTATAACTAGCTATAATTTCGCGCTGAAGTTGCTAGAGGGCCAGACCATTATAAATAGGGAAGCAGGTTGCTTACCACGACAGTAGAAGTGATTTTTTTCTGAAGATATGGGAAAACAACGTGATTTAACAGCCTTTGAACGTGGGATGATTGTTGGCGCTCGGAGCCATGGAGCGAGTATCAGCAAAACAGCAGAATTCGTTAAATGTTCAAGAGGGGCTCATTGTTAAAGTTTTTAAAGACCGGACTGTCAGCTGAAAATCTGGGTCTGAACGTGCGAATTGTGGCCGTCAGCGACTAGTCAATGTTAGGGCAGAACGGAGAGTGGCAAGACTGGTACAAGACAACCGAAGGGCAACAGTGCAGTGTCAGATTCCTCGCATCACCTTTCAACATCTCGTGGAGTCACGAGACGGCCCAACGAAGTCATCTCGTGGAGTCATCTCGTGGCCCAACGAAGTACTGATGGGGTGGTCATAATAATCTGGCCACTCAGTGTATATATGTAATCTTATGCACAGTGTGTATATATGTATAATGTATATCATTATTTTATTTTTTTTCCAAAATACTTTCAAAGTTTTTTGTGAAGTCAACAACACAAAACAAGAAACATACATTTGTGCCCTCTACAAAGTATTACAAATGGTGCAAGTCATCTTGTATGTCCAGATCGAAAGGCACGCTACATATATAGAAGATATAGATATATACAGGGCTTGAAAAATCTGCTCGTCCTCATCTGAGCCCGACGAGTAGCTTCCTGGCCGACCGTTTGAAATTAAACGGCTGGCCAGGAGCTTTACCTTCAAGCGATGGAGCGTCTCTAGAGACGCCTGATCATTTGTATTAGCCGCCACTGTCACTGCCGTTGCCAGTCCCGAGACCCGCTGTGGCCGATGCGGCTGGGACCGGCACGGCTGCTCTGTGACGGGAGATCGCTACACGATCTCCCTCTGACCTCCTCTCCAGTCTCCCAATGCAGGAAGTGATGTATAATACATCACTTCTGCATTTTGCTGTCACTCTCCAGCTTGAGAAGCTGGTGAAGAAGTTCTCTGCTTCATCAGCTTCTCTGGGGGTCCCTAGGTGACATTAGGGGTCCTGGAGACCCCTGATGTCTCCATAAAGAGGACCTGCCATGTAAACTGGCTACCACATAGGGGGCTTCTTATCGTGACAATGACGATTGCGCAGTGAGAGCAATAGTTTTTGGGCCATTAATCACTGATAACACTAAACTGATGAGCAGTAAAAGCGTTTAAAGCATCGCCTATGGGCAATTTTCGGTGTGGTCGTTTTTTTTTTTTTGTGCGATTTTTGCGGGCGTGCGCAATTTAGGGTTAAGAATAAATGTTCTTTAACATAACTTAGGGAAAACGTTTTTTTTTTTTCCTCTAAATTTTGAGAACTTTTTTCATTATATAGTAAAAAATAACCCCTCCCCCCCAGTGGTGATTTATATACTTCCAAAAGAAAGCTCTGTGTCTCTAAAAAATGTTAACATAAATTGCAAGGCTATAGTCTGGTCTGCATTGACTGGTGAGACACCCTAACATTTTTCAAGGTGTGTGTGTGTATATATTTTAGCACTTCAAAGTAACAGGTTGCGGCAATCAGACATACTGTATGTTCAACATGAGCAATTCAGATATGACAAGAAGAATATTTATCAGTGTAACATAAATCCAATATTATCGGGCCCGATTCCGATGCTAGCATCGGTATCGGGACATCCCTACTAAGAACCTACCAATCTTAATAGCGTAGAAGGAGCTAAGCCAGGTGCAGATAGCCAAGGGTCACAAATAGAGGTGCACCGAAATGAAAATTTCAAAAACGAAACCGAAATGAAAAAAAATGTCAGGCCGAAACTAAAAATGTTTTTTATTTTAACCTTTTCAAATTTTCTCATATTTTTTCTTTTTTATTTCATTGTTATTTTTTACTTTACTTTTAGGGGCTTTGGGGAAATATTGGGGGTCTAATTTTTGACCCCTGATATTTCTCTTTTAAAATAGAAAAAGAGTTTGAGGACACAGTTTGCTGGGACACAGAGCAGCACCCAGCGGTGAGCAGAGAGAGAGAGAATGGATACACCGCTGTATCGGCCAGAATATGGCACTTTCGGCATTATGCCAAAAGTGCCATTTTCGGCCGATGTATATCGGTGCATCTCTAGTCACAAACAGTATATTTTATTTTTTACAATAACACACGTTTATCTCTTGCTAATCATGGCCTCAATTTCTGCTGTTGTACTTTTGGTGGCTCTCTGTTTTATAATGTCCTTTAATGGTTTGTTTTGCAGGTTGTACAGATGCTGAAAGCAGGAAAAGCAAAGGAGGTGTCATATAATGCTTTAGCTACACATATTATTGCAGAGGATGGAGACAATCCCGAGGTTGGAGAAGCCAGAGAAGTTTTTGATCTCCCCATTGTGAAGGTAAATGATATCAAGTAATTTTAGAGTGCTTCATTCAGATCTTAGTGTAAGCCTTTGGTCCTCCACCCTAGGTATTTTTCTGAGGGCTGTATCCTCTCATTTAACCCCTTCGTGACGGGAGACGTACACTGTACGTCCAGCCACAAAGGGACCAAATGACTCGTCACGTACACTGTACGTGACGAGTTATTTGCTGCACTAGAAGGCTGCTAACCGCTGAGAATCAGCGGTTACCTTTCAGTAATAGATGTCTAACTATCTAGAGATCCATTACTGAAAGGGTTAACCTTTTTCAGGTACCCGATACCTTAATATCGGGCGTCTGAGAGTCACAGCAAAGCAGAGACACATGTCGGCTTTTGCCGGCATTCTGACAGCTCGTATAGATCGAGAGATATCTCTCTCAAGCTATACTGGCTTTTTTTTTTTTTTATCTTTTGACTTTCAAGAATAGATACAAAATGTTATGTATTAGACACATAATGTATCTATTCTTGAAAGTAGAATGTTTAAGTTTTCTGAAACATTCACTGACAGCTGAATCCTGAACTGCTGCAGGATCAGTGTCACTAACTTATTATCGGCTGTTCTGAAGTTTGAAGCAGCCTGATAATAAAAAAAAATGTATTAATTTATCAAGCAGTAATAGTGAGATTAATTCACAATGACTGCCTGATATAATTAAATAAATAAAATTTGTCAGTATAAAAAAAGTGAAAAGTGTAAATAAATTTAAAAAAATAGTGAAAAGTGTAAAAAAATTAAAAATAAGGGACAAATAAATGAATGTATGTATTGCATTTTTTTTTAGCTGTGCTGGTTTTGTTAAAAAAAAATACTACAAATCAAAACTGGGAAAAAAAGTTTTTTTTTACGTTTTTTCCTCTTTTTTTAATTTGTATTTGTCCTAAGTGAGGCGTTAGACACACATATGTGATATAAATATATAGCCCTATCTGTCCTCTAAAAAACAATATATAATATGTGTGGGTGCACTTTGTAAGAAAGTATATTACTGACGTGGAAGAATCACACAGCAAAAATGTCAAAAGTGTGTCAGTCATTTACGAACAGAAACCAAAAACAAGCTCAGTCATGAAGGGGTTAAGCAGCTGGGTCTAGGTCAGCATTTGGCTCTCTGCACTATCAAGGGCCTGCTTTCGGCCCTTTCTTGTTCACTCCTTGATTTAGGGTCTTTTATAGGGAGTTTCCCATGTAGCTCCCCTTGTTTGTTCCCCTGTGCCTCCGTGGGATCTGAATCTTCAGAAACCTCTGTTTTGAATCCGTTGGAGAGATCCCTCTCTGCTCTCACCCACAAGGTGGTTTTCCTTGTTTCTCTCCTCTGCAAGATAAAGCAGCCAGTTCTTACTTTGCAAAGAACCTTTTCTGGTTTTACATATGGACAAGGTGGGGTAACTGGGGTCAGAGCTGGGGAAAAAATGTCCCGATTGGTTGGTATGGTTTGCAGCACTTAGCATATCGTTTTTGCTTTATTAAATATATAAAGTTGCATCAATTTTTTTTTCCACTTTTAAACGTCAAATAAAAAGAAAATTTGAAGTCTACTTTTGTATAATCATGAAAGACATATTCAGATGCTCTCTCTTAAGGCTGTGAAGAGCACTTTGGTTAAGGACATATTGTAAATTCCCAGGCTTTTAAATCACAAATCCAAAGACTAGCAGAGAGCAAGTCAAGTGCCTGTGCTGTGCATGTCTGATTTTGACTTCTTTATCCAATGTTTTTGAAACATTGGCACCAGCCTGTGTCTTGATAGAAGCCACTTTTGAATATTCCTTCAGGCTAGGTTCAGACCTGAGCTACACCCAGGACACGCGCGATCGTGTGCTGATGCACCCAGCGCCTGCCGCAAAGCTCCATTAATTTCAATGGGGTTACATCCACGCGGCAATCACTAAAAAAAGTACAAGTACCCTTTTTTTGTGACACATGGGGGTGCTGCTTTTTTCTTGTTCAATTGCACGGGTGGAATCGTGGTGGGAATCTGTACGATCCGCAGAGTGTGACTGGGGTGCCATTAGAAAATAATTGCACCGCCAGCCCGATCGGCTTTAGTTGGTGACTTGGTGACCTCCCGCCAATCCGCACGGTTTTGTGCACGATTGCCACGCGGTCAGTAGTCGCCTAAGCGTGAACCTAGCCTAAAGGTGACCCATGGTCTTTGATCTACAGTACATGTGAAATATAAATTTTACTAGCGTGTGGTTTGTGTTTTTTGTTTTGTTTTTTAAACTTGTTTGTAATGTACATATTTTTTTTTGCAGTTTTGTTTTTTATTTTTTCTCAAGTCAAGTGTGAATTTAAGGCCTTGTTCACACCAAGCGCGGAGCAGGTGCAGAGCAGGTGAAAAAACTGCAGCGGGCCTTATTTATCTGCTCTGGATCTGCAAACGCATCAAAAACGCATGCAAATGCATGGAATGCGCTGAAAGCCCATTTTAAACTTAAAAAAAAAATATATGTATATATTTTATATTTTTTTGGCCAAAAAACGCATCTAAAAGACTAGCGTGCGTGTGCAGAAACCTGACTGGATCTGCTCTGCATTTGGTGTGAACAAGGCCTTAGGCCCCATTCACACACGAATCGGCCTGCACGTACAGCTCCGTGCGGGGCCGTACCAAGTAGCTGCCGGAAAGGACAGGTGCTGCGTGTGATTAGAACGCAGCCCCGTCCTTCTCTATGGGGCTACGCTGCCGTACGCCCCCCATACGCTCACCTCATTTGCAGGTCCGTAGGGGTGCAGGTTTTCTGGCCGGGGGGCGCATACAGGATCCATTCCGGCGGCGTATGAATACGATCACCCGCACCCCTACGGACCTGCAAATGAGGTGAGCGTAGGGGGGCGTACGGCCGCGTAGCCCCATAGAGACGGACGGGGGCTGCGTTCTAATCACACATGAGACCTGTCCTTTCCGGCAGCTACTTGGTACGGCCCCGCAGCCAGCACGGAGCTGTACGTGCAGGCCGATTCGTGTGTGAATGGGGCCTTAGTGATTTCACTTTAAAACATTGAAGTAATTATGTTTTCGGTTGACAGCATTTTCTTGCACCAGAATGCAACATGATGTGATGCGCTATTGTTCTGGTCCATCGGCACCTGCTGTATTTGGGCATTGGGGTGCCATTTAAACTAATGACACCGTAATGCAATGCACAGAATGCCTTTGTGTTACAGTAGCCTTTAGTAAAACGTGCATCACCACAACACATTGTTATGAAGCCAGCCTTAAATCTCATGTAGTTCTCATATTTGCATGATGGATGTTTCTCTCATTATGGGTTTCCTTAACCTGTGGACATACTGTACACTTTCTTGCTCTTTTATTATTGTTTAGGACATTCTAGGTTTGCTCTGTTAATGAACTGTATTCTGAGTTCTGCAGGAAATCTAATTAAACATTTTGTTTTTTCCTTTCACAGCCCTCCTGGGTAATATTATCTGTTCGATGTGGAGTCCGTCTTCCGTATCCTTTTAAATTGCTGTTCTTTTATATAGTTTTTTTGTTTTTCTCTTTTTACTTGAACTTTCTTTTCCTTATAGTGTCCACAAATGTTTGACGTAAGCTCTTTTCACATGGTGATTAAATGTAAAATATACTTTGCTTTGCTAGAATTCTGCATCATCTAGTCAGATTTCTGCTCTGCTTTTTTGTCTTTTGTAAGGAGTACTCACTACTATCTTATGTAATGGATGCTGTGTATATTTATCACAATGATTTCTCCCTAGACCAATGTTTTCTGTTCTTATAAATTGAATTAAACAGGTGATGCTCCAAAATGCAGAACACAAAACAGAACTATACTATTTGGCTTGCATGATATCAGTAACCGCTAATGAGACACGTGAAAAGCTTGCCTTCTAAGCTGGCCATACACTACCTGAATGTTGTATGATTTCTGCTGAACAGACAGAAAGCTGACCATGGGTGGCCCTGTTGGCACCTCCCAATCCCAGGAGCAGCAGCGGCTGAATGTAATAGCCCGCAGAGCTGAATGAGAGAAATGGGTCACCTGATCTTGCACTGAGACACTATTTAGTCATAGCTGTTTGGTCATGTTGTAGAGGGGAAATTGTCATGGGAATGTCTGTACCATTGGTGGACGTTACCAGACATGGTTTGCGTGATAACGCAGCTTGCCAAGTAATAGCCGCTCTTTGTGGCTCAGGGAAAATGTAATACTGGTAGTGCCACCATTAAAGGGAACTTGTATCTCTCCCCTACAAGGGCAAATCACACATTTACTCTAAGCTCTACTTTTCTAGACCGTTGTGATAAAGAGTGGGCTGCTTGGTAACTTTTCCATTTGAGATGGCAACCTAGAAGTATACTTTGGCTTGTCCAAATGTGGGTGTGCCATACAATTTTGAGGTGTGAAATCATTGTCCGTATGCTGCTTTCCTATGCAGAAGGTAAAGTTTTGGAACAAAATCGAATCTCTTCACTCTTCTTAAATCTTTCCTTAACAACACAAACTTCTCAGAGAGAATGGGTTTTCTCCAGAGTCTGGTCAAATATTTTTTGGTGTGACGGCTTGCCTTTCACAAGTAAGTATGTTTCCTAATTACTTTTTAGATGATTCGTACACCAAAAGTTGTACAAATACATTTTAGTATAGCCAACCAAGGGCGCACACACCTACAAGGCTCGTTTCAGTTATATTTTAATTAAGTGTCATCGGGTAAAGATTATGTAGCTGTGTACTATGGTTTGCTTGATTAGAAAACATGATAGTCTAGATCAGTGGTTCTCAACCTGTATAACCTCAGGACCCACATTTGTCCTTAGTCATTAAGTTGCGACCAAAGTTGCACGGGATTGCGGTACAGCACATTTCGTTGCGGTCGATTGAACTGTGGGCAGAAGGTGCGTTTGGGAGCCAATCAAATTAATGACAACGCAACGCAGCTCCCACACCAGAGTGCGTAGTAGGTGTGATTGCATGGTACAGTGCATTCATTGCACAGGACTATTCGATTAACGCACTGTACTAGTGTGAACGTGCCCCCCAAAACACTGACAGACATACAATCTCACACACACTCACAAATGTTTTTTTTTTTTTTTCCTGAAGATTCCCTTCAGTCTCCCTACCTTACGAGAACTGTAGTGGATCCTCAGCCTGGGGTCCAGTGTGGGCTGCTGTTCTGTGATGGAGTTAATCCATATGTGCATTGCTTGTACAACCCCCTTTCAAGCCCTGTAGAGATGCCGGAAGCCAGAGCATGACGTCACTCCGGTCCAGGCATCTCTACAGGACATGCGAGCAAGCTGTAAGCAATGCATGTATGGATGGAGCTCCCATGTGGTCATAGCTCCAGCCCACCCCACACTCGGCATATGAATGGCTGCTCAGCGTGAGAACTGACAGTGCTGCATTAGGGGGAGGCTGAGAAGCCTCTTGCCTAGAAAAGTGGAAGGCACGCAATGACCCACTGAACAGGGGGTCTTGACCCAATTATGGGTCACGACCCACCAGTTGAGAACCAAGGGTCTAGATGCATCCAGTTTTGTCGGCGATAGGATCAAGAATGGGCAGAGTGGTAATTATGACAAAAGTTATACAGGCTTTATTATGACTTTTTGAAGCTAGCTTCATAGTCACAGGTCTCTATACAAAACCCAGTTAGCTGAAGCTTTTTTACTGGGACTTCTTCCATCTTGAGCAGAGGACATTCGTAATTATTATATCTTCCATCATTTACATGGACAACGGGACGGTTAAGTGTCGTACTACTATTTTTATGGGGGTTTTTTTATTTTCCTTTTTTTTTTTTTTTTTTTGGTTTTAGGTATGAATACTCTCGCCTTGTGTGCAGCACTAGTTGTTGGCTTTTTTTGTTGTTCATTTGAAAGCATTCCACTGATCTCCATGTTTGTACTTTCATTTAGATATCGCCTGATGACAGAAATGCTCTGTGGGCACTTATAACTTTTTATGGTGGTGACTGTCAGCTAAGTCTCAATAAAAAGTGCACTCATTTAATTGTTCCTGAACCAAAAGGGGTAAGTGTTATGCAAACTATTTTAAAGTTTGATATATAAACACACATTCATTTTTTGTTATGTAATGTTGGCGTGTTTAATTTAAAATTTAGTCATATGGCAACAAAAGCATCTCTTGGCTATAAACAAATACATTGTATTTGGATAACTACTGTAATTCAGAACTTATTCTAAGTTATTTAGGTTAGCCAGCAGGCTTTCCATAGTCCTTGTGGATGGTACTGCATCCTCTTGTCACTTGATTTTGTGATTTGCCAATCCTCTGTATGGGCTCTTCTCCAAGTAGGTGAGGCTTCAGTGAGATTAGAGAAGGGATGATAACTGAACCGTGAAGAGCAATGGCATACATTGTGCTTTCTCAGATTCATAAGATTAGGGAACTGGCCACTAAAGGGATTTAGCTAATGTACATGTTTTGTGTCTGTAGACCAAGTATGAATATGCTTATCAGAGAGAGAACATCAAAATCGTTGCTCCAGACTGGGTTTTGGATTCGATATCTGAGAAATCCAAGAAAGAAGAAGCCCCTTATCACCCGCGTCTTATAGTCTATGAGGAGGAGGAGGAAGAGGAGGAGGAGGAGGAGGAAGAAGATGAGGATGAAGAAGAGATAGATCAGTACTCTCAAAACGCCAGTGCGGATGAGGATAGATACTCTTCTAAATCTAGTCCAGTGACATCACGCGAGCAATCTCCTACACCCAACAAGGAACGTTCACCAAAGCGCAGTGGCAACGGGAAAGTTAAAGAGGAACTGATGTTCGATGATTCTGATGATTCCTCCCCGGAAAAGCAGGACAGAAATCTGAACTGGACTCCTGCAGAAGTTCCACAGATGTCTACTGCAAAGCGAAGGCTCCCCCAGGGAAAAGATTCAGGTCTGATTAATTTGTGTGCTAATGTGCCACCTGTACCAGGGAACATTTTGCCACCTGAAGCCCGGAGTAATTTGCTCACGTCCATCACTGGAGCTGCTGGTTCCGATAGACAGAACATGATGCCTTTTAGAAGTCCAGCAGTAAGAACACTTAGAAACATTACAAACAGTGCAGATATACAGCAGATCAATAGACCTTCAAATGTAGCGCATGTAAGTATCCACTTTTTGTTAATGATTTCAACAAATGGTTTTAGAATTTTTTGTAGTTCTTGGCTTAGATTATTTTTGAGCTAGCTTTGTGGGTCTTTGAGCTGAATGATGTGTGTGATTATAGAACACATTTCTAAAGCCGGATTTGCATACACAATAATTTGGAGTTGATGAGCTCTTAAAGCGGATCTTTACACTCAAAAATCAAATTCTACCAATGCATCCATCTGTGTGATGATTAATAATAACATAGACATGTCAGGTGTAAAATGCTTTGATTTTGAAATACTTACACTTGCAGAGCGTTCACTTCCTGCTTTTAAAGTGCAAAATGAATTCAGTTTGCCAAAGCAATGCACACTGGGATTGCCTTGTCATCAGCAGAGCATTGGTGGGAAATCTCATCTGTAATCTCATGAGATCTCAGGGAAAGGCATTTAACTCCTCTGAGATGATGTGCATGGTCAAATGTCCTAGTCACATGTGCCAGGAAGTAAAAGGAGAGCAGTAATCTGTCCTTAGTAAACATGGCCACTGTCAGAAGACTGGGGAAGAAAAGAGAAATAAGGAATACAAAGCCGGCAATTATCTAGAAATATGTGTTTGTAGATTGTCATTACTAAACATTTCTAAAGGTGTGTTTGTTGTTATTTCAAAGACATGGGTAAGGGTCCGCTTTAAAGGTAAACATGGAAGCGTGACCAATTTCCGATGTCTGATTCTTATACACCAATATGCAAAATGTATTCAGGGCCATAGACAGAGTATTGAAGCCAATTGTGTCCGCATAACAGCCACGCATCTCTATTATTTTTATGAGGTCAGCAATGGCAGCTTTCATGTCTCAGGCAGGAAAGACTGCCTGAGACATGACTCAGGGGTTTGATTGAAAATGCTCTGACGGATACTTTTCACTGTGGCCACGGCTCTGGGGAGAACTGGTCAGATATGACCTTTTGGCTTTTTATAGCATTATCTTGAACCCATTCTTAGTCGGGATTTATTTTGATGAGACTGAATTTGTATTTTGTTGCTTATGTTGCTGAACGGCAATGTATACCAGAAGGTCTCGCTCCTAGAGATCAAGAAATCAATGTCTGCATGCAGACCCCTAACTGATCTCCCTTACTAAAAGATAAGCTGGTTTTTGTGGAACAAGTCTTGTATATCAAGCATATTATTGTGTACTGAAGAGAACTATGGGGTTACCTTTTTATCCCATAGTTCTCTTTAGGGTAACAGGAGGACATACTAACCTCCACCCGTGGCCCAAAACTCAGTATATAGCGGGCTATTGCTTGTTAGGCTGCGGTGCTCTCTATATATCTAGAGGCAGAGTCAGCTGTGCCCGCCTCTTTCCCCGTCTGTTCCACCAGTCAGCGCTGGAGGATCGGAGAGGGGAGGAGGGAATCCCTGTGGGGAGTGGTGACTGACGGTCACCTCTCTCTCTCTCTGCAGGGAGATGATCAAGAAGTGATCATCGGCCCCCACCTATGAGGATGAATGTATATCACTCACCTCATAGATCTCCTTTAACTAAACAGGTTATGGAACCATGTTTGCACTTCAGACCTGTGAATTGTGTAAGTTTTTTTTTTTGTTGTTGTTGTTTGTTTCATTGTGGTGACTGACAGTTTTTTTCTTTTCTTAGTTTGGTTTTTACATTTAGGGTAAAATGTATGTGGTAACACTGTTTACTGTTGTAAGAAAACAATGGATTTGTATAGCTTTGTTTTTTCTCAGGCTTTTTATTGTATTCTTGTATAGATTTTACAAACCCTGTCTGCATCTACCAAAAGTTTAGAACAACAAGGTAACCATCCTCAGCAAGGGCATCCAAACACAATGTTGTTCAGTCAAGTAAAATCCTTAACGCCAGAAGCACAGCAACATTTGCTACAGCAACAATCACATCAAACACAACCGCAACAACAGCATCATTCTCTGGTGCAGCTTCAGCCTCAACAGCTTATGCAATTGCAGCAGCAACAGCAACAGCAGCAGCATCAACAAGTAACTCAACAAGTTTTTCCACAGCATCAGTTTTCACAAGTGAACCAACAGCATCACTTTCCTCAGCTGCAGTTTTCTCAGCAACAGCTCCATCGCCCACAGCAGCAAACCATGCAGCACTTCCAGCAGCAACATGTTCTGCAGCAACAGCTTCAACAATTACAGCAACAGCAACACCTCCAGCAGCAGCAGTCTCTACAGCAAACCTTGCAACAGCAGAATATACAGCAGATCCTTCAGCGCCAGCAGACTCCTTCACAGCAACAGACACTACAGCAGCAACAGTCTCTTCAGCCAGCTATACAGCAGCAACAAACTCTTCAGCAGAACATGCAGCAACAGCAAACACTTCAGCAACAGCAAACACTTCAGCAACAGACCCTTCAGACAGGCATTCAACAGGCTCTCCAGCCAGGTGTGCAACAACAGCAGAGTCAGGTCTTGCAACAGAATCGTCAGCAGATTCAGCAACAGAATATGCAGCAGATACAACATTTGACTCTTCAGCAAAAGCAGCAATTACAGCAGCATGCTCTTCAGCAACAGCAGATTCAACCCCATGCTCTACAGCAGCAAATGTCATCACATGCACTGCAACAGCAGCAGCAAATTCAGAACCAAGCTTTACAACAGCAACAGATTCAATCGCAAACACTTCAACAGATACAGCCACAGGGCCTTCAAACGCAGCATCAGATGCAGGCCCAAACTTTGCAGCAGCAGCAAATCCAGACTCAGTCGCAGCAACATCAAATACAGGCACAAACATTGTCACAACAGCAACATACACAATCACAAACACTTCAACAGCAGCATCAGTTGCAACCGCAGACACTTCAGCAGCATCAGCTCCAGCCACATAACATTCAGCTTCAGCACCAAATTCAGACACAGGGCCATCAGCAACACCAGATACCATCACAAATGCTGCAACAGCAGACACTTGCCCAACAACAACAGCTGCAGCAACAAACGCTACAACTTCAGCAGCAGCAGCAAATTAAACAACAACAAATGCAACAGCAGCAACAGACATTATTGCAGCAACAAATTCAACAACAATCACTGCAGCAGCAGCAGATACAGCAAGCAAGCCTACAGCAACAGCAAATGCAGCAGTCGCAGCCTTCACAAATACAGCAGACAACACTCCAACCGCAGCAAGCCCAGCAGGCGACATTGCAACAGCCTCCAATCCAACAGGCTTCTCTTCAGCAGCCTTCACTTCAGAACCAAGCAGTTCAGCAACAGAAACACAATCTCCAGCAGATTCAGCAGCAGATACAGCAGCAACATCTTCAGCGGTTACAGCAGCGGCAAATGCAAAATCAAACCCAGCAACTAGGTCAGATGCCCCAGCAGGTGCAGCCTCAAACTACTAGTCAACAACCGCCCCAGACTCAGCAGCTGCATGGCCATGATCCATCTCTGGAAAGTAAGTAAAACATTTATATTTATAGAGGAAATGTCAGGTGCGATATGCATTGGAAACTATTGTCCGTTTTGCCAAAGAGGATTTGTGCTTGATAAGCGGCACATTGGTGAGGTTTTTGAACATGGTAGCAGGTTTTTTTTTTTTTTTTTTCAAACTAAAAACCGGGTAAGAGAATACAATCTTTTATATCAGTAGATGTGTTTTTATAAGATTTTTGTGCACTTTGGCTTGTAGCCTTTGACTGGCCACACAATTAGTTTTTATTCATTTTTTTTATTTTCTAATTTTTGATTGCCAGATGGAATAATTCACCCGTTTACACATTTTTCAACCAGATTTTATTTACTATTCACACTATAACTTGTTTTCACACGACAATATTTTATTTACATATGCTACATATATTTTGCAATATTTACATTGTTAACTTAATATTTAATAATATTTAATGTTAACTTAATATTTAATAATATTTAATTTTTATTCACGAACACATTTTACCTTCCTTTTTTTCGACTTGTATTTTCAGTATACAGCCGCAATTAGGATTTGATCACTGGCACTGAATTTAGTTTGTGATATTTTCACATTTCCACACAACTTAAAGACCAATTAAAAGGTGAATCACACACAACCAAGCGCAGCACCCCGGTTTACAAATGCCAGCACTGCACACCCCCAACCAACTGCAGGAGTTTGTAGTTGGTTGGGGTGGTGCAGTGCTGGTATTGCTTTATACACTTTTTTTTATTCACTGTTATACTGGATTTGCTGTGAATTCCAGTAAAGTCTGAAGTATTGGAATTCTCCGGATGGTGCGGTCTATTCGTATACTAGTGCGTTCCAAGGTGGAGACGCACCTATTGGACCAGCACCTGGGGAGTCCTGATGGTGGCTAAGGAATTAGAGCGGTGAGATTTGCTTTTGGCTCTACATTAATAACCTTGTAAGTTTCAGCCAATTGGATTTCAGCGTTCATCCTTTAGGAGTGTTCCCATACCGAAAGATGATTGTTCACTGTGTTGAACAGCACTTTACACATCACACTTTGCCTTTTTTTTAAGCGGCTGTCAGTATCTTTAGAAGTTACCTTGATTTTATTTCGGTCATGCCCCAGTATTCAGTACAGAATTATGTATTTTGTAAGCAAGACTATTATCATTTAAAAAGCATTCCTTGGGCTTCAGCAAGTGACTGTCTAGGTACAGGTTCTTCAGGTCTTCGCTCTGGTTCACACCTAGGCATTTCTGAGCAGTTCGAAAAGCGCTTTTACCTGCCCAACACAAGAAATCCCATGATTTTCGATGGAAACCGCCAGACGCCTCAAAAGATACAAGAGATTCTTTGGGCAGTTAAAAGCGCTTTTCCTCATCATAGACTTCATTGTAAATGCCCAAAAACGCGCAACAGAAGCATGTTGCTCATTTCGTGCATTCGTGCATTCTTCCATTGACCACAATAGTTTGTGTGCTGCCAATCAAAACGTGCGTCTTCATGGATGCGCGCTAAAACGCGCATAGAAAATGTGCACAATGCACATATAACCGCATGCTGCTAAGGCGTGTATAAACGCACAAAAACTGTGCCACCTAGGTGTGAACCGGGGCTTACTGATAGTAACTTGCTGGGAAGATGTTAGTCTGCTGCAGGCATAAGCAAACTTTTCCTCACTCTTTTTTGTTCCCAAGTGATCTTTATTGTGGTGAGTTAAGCCTGCACACGTGATAATCAAATATGGCCGCCTCGTGTACATATAATATCCATACTATACATGGAAACAGTGAATTTGAAAGAACACAAGATTTACATTAAGATAACTGTATGTAGACCTTGACAAGGTTATAGATTTCCTATAAAATGTGTCGGTCAGATAAGCTGCTGAAGATGTATAACTTGGGAATATAGATTTTAGTTGTGGGCGGCATTCCAAGGTTATGGGCTTTGCACATGAATATGATATACTGGTGTTTTTAACATTATGATACATTTATTTTTTTCTTCCACTCTTATTAGTTCCTGAAGACTTCTTTTTGGCTGGCTGCGTGTTTGCAATCGCTGACTACCCAGAACAGATGTCTGATAAGCAGCTCCTTGCAACATGGAAGAGAGTATGTTTTGCTTTGCTTAGTTCTTGGTCCCTAGGTGATGTGAGATGGTGTCCATTAGCACCTATGACTGTATGAAGCATCCTTATTTAACGTACAACCGTAACTGAATGGCATTTCATTTTCTGAAGCCCTGTTTATCCTAAACAACTGCAAATCAAATGTTGGGTGGGCATGTGACAGGAGAACAATTGTGAGACAGGGACAGAGCATTATTGCCCATTAACACAAAGTACCTAACCTATATTTACTGCAGGATTACAAGGTCTAATACCCCAATAGAAATTTTAAGTAAGATGCACTGGGCCAAATTTGCTGTTATACCGGTTTATTTGTACCGTTTTAACACGTTTTTTTTTTTTTTTTTCATGTTTCTCAAAGATAATACAAACACATGGCGGCACAGTGGACCCTACACTCACCAGTCGCTGTACTCATCTTTTATGTGAAAGCCAAGTCAGTAGTATGTATGCCCAGGTAGGTTCTGAAGTGGATAAAATCAGTGTTCTTCAAACTGCCTTTCATCAGTGTAAAAAAAAATTCCTGAAGTCCCATCTAGTAGGCCTTTAAATCTTCCATATTTTTTTGTATAATACATTTTTATTGTTATAAGACATATGAAAAGACATAAAAGCAACACAGGATGCCGAGTAATACTAAATAGCATGTAGAATACAGGATTCACAATCCATACCATTAATCTCAGGTAAGCGCATTTATGTGAGTCCTCGAGTAGGATCCTGATGCTTGAATGAGGAAGAGCAGTCTCGGCAATACATTCATCTTAATGGCATTTATTCTGCCCATCCAGGAGTGGTATTTGGGGGACCAGCGATTCAAGTCCGCTCGGATTTCATTTAATAGGGGCATATAGTTGTACCTAAATAAGTCCTTCAATCGTGGCGTGTAGTTAACTCCTAGACACCTCAGTTTGTGCGACTGCCATGTAAAAGGAAAATGAGATTGTAAGTTTCTAGCCTCAGCAATGGGTACCGTCAGATTCAGAATATGACTGCCCCTCACGAACAAATATCGCCCTGAATCATCAGTTTGCATTTCAGATAGTGTAAAAGGAGTACCCCTGCGTTTCGTCGGGCTGTGTCTGGAGCTCTGCTCAAGTGCGGCCGCTCAGCGCCATGCGTTAGCCACGCCCCAAATCTTCCATATTTAAATGGTGTAACCTTTTGATAATTTGACTCTATAAAGTTTTTTTTCTTCCTTTTTTATAGCCTGCTAGGAATGATCTGATTTATTTTTATTATATGTACTAAATATGTAGCGGTTAGATGTTCTGTAATTACCCTTTTATTCGGCCTACTTAGTTGAAATTCTTTCAATTCCTACCCCAATAATAAAGATGTGTTCCCTAATTAATAGGCTATGAAGGAACGAAAGCGTTGCATCACCGCTCATTGGCTCAATACGGTGCTGAAAAAGAAGAAAATGGTGCCGCCACATCGTGCCCTACATTTTCCTGTAGCATTTCCACCAGGAGGGAAGCCATGCTCTCAACACGTAAGAAAGCAATATAATGATATAATTGCATTCTAAATTGCACCAATTTGTTTACAAAGTTATATTCTCCCACCAGGATTTTTAGTAAAGTGAAAATAGTTATTTTCTTATTTAGCCAATGTAGTCATGTAGCCAAAGTCAACCAAAGATTTCTGCAGGTTCACAGTTCGAGGAAATATATTCATATCTTGCCCCTTCTTTAACCCCTTCGTGACGGGAGACGTACACTGTACGTCCAGCCACAAAGGGACCAAATGACTTGTCACGTAAACTGTACGTGACGAGTTATTTGCTTCTTTAGAGGGCTGTTAAACGCTGAGAATCAGCTTTTAACATTGATTAATAGATGCCCTTACTACAGAGGCATTCATTAATGAAAGGATTAACCTTTTTATTATCGGCTGTTCTGAAGTTTGAAGCAGCCTGATAATAACCAAAAATGTATTAAAAAAAAAAAATTTGTAAAAATAAAATAAGGGACAAATAAATGAATGTATTTATTGCATTTTCTTAGCTGTGCTGGTGTTGTAAAAAAATACTACAAATCAAAACTGGGAAAAGTGGTTTTTTTTAACGTTTTTTTTCTTTTTTTTTATATTTTATTTGTCCTAAGTGAGGCGTTAGACACACATATGTGATATAAATATGTAGCCCTATCTGTCCTCTAAAAAACAATATATAATATGTGTGGGTGCACTTTGTAAGAAAGTATATTACTGACGTGGAAGAATCACACAGCAAAAATGTCAAAAGTGTGTCAGTCATTTACGAACAAACTAAAAACAAGCTCAGTCATGAAGGGGTTAAATTACGTCACACATGAAAAAGAATAAAAATAACACTTTTTTTTAAAAGTCCCCAGCCATACCTACACCCATGCGTCGAGTGCGCATACGTGCAAAAACGACGATTGCGCCCATTATGCCGCCTATGTTGCATATTGCCGCGAACATCGCAGTGAGAGCGATAAATCTAGGCCCATTAATCACCGATTAAACTGATGAGCGGTAAATGCTTTTAAAGCGTCGCCTATGGTAGATTTTTTTCGATTTCGCAGGTGCGCGCAATTTTAAAACCTTGGCATGTTTGGTGTCTATTTACCCGACGTGACCGCGTCTATATTTTGCCCAAAAATTGGGTGGGTAATAAATGTTTTATAATTTAATATAGGGGAAACAGTTTTTTTATTTTCGGTAATGTTTCCTTACTATAGTAAAAAATATAAAACCCCCAGTGGTGAATAAATACCACCAAAAGAAAGCTCCATCTGTCCCAAAAAAATTGTATAAAATTAATTTCAGTACAGCGCTGCATGACGGAATAAATATCAGTCAAAGTAACGCAGCGCTAGATATTGAATAATGGCCTGGCCAGGAAGGGGGTGAAACAACTGGTCAGCAATAGACTTATATGTTTTTCACTACCTTTTATAACACAGCTGCAAGTCACTCTAAATTCATATGTGATATATCAAAGCAGGGTTAGCCAAACTCCGGCCCTCCAGCTGTGGTGGAACTACAAATCCCATGAGGCATTGCAAGATTCTCACAGCCACACACATGACTCCCGGAGAAAGATGCATCATGGGATTTGTAGTTTCACAACAGCTGGATGGCCGGAGTTTGGCTACCCTTGTATTAAAGGATATATCGCGCAGGAATTTAGTCACTCACTTGTAGTGGTGTAGTTTTGACTGTGTGGTATCCCATTACCCTTATTAAACAATCTGCAACCTATAGAAGTGTGAAAACAATCTGTTCTTCTTCCTCTATGCTCCTTCTATACAGCATGCTTGTGCAGCAAGATGGCTAATGCTGAACTGTTTAATTTTTGTAGAAATGTCAGTAAATGATGTTACACCTTTTTTCGCTTTCTAGATTATTTCAGTGACGGGATTTGTTGATAGCGATAGAGATGACCTGAAGCTAATGGCCTACTTGGCAGGCGCCAAGTACACTGGCTATTTGTGTCGCAGCAATACTGTCCTCATCTGTAAGGAGTAAGTGACAGCTCTTCATACATTCTCATCCCAGTCTGTGCATTTTATATCCAGACTTTCGCAGATGGCTCTTAAATCATCTTGCTTTAGCGTAGATGGGCAATTTTATTGTCATGGTCTGTGCTCTTAAATATCAGCGGCTCGAATGTGTCAGCTGCTGAGTTAGCAGTGCAAACTGCGGGTAAAAAAGGTTTTAACGTTTTCATTGAACAATTCAGAGGGAACTGGGTAGTTTTTTTGCAGTATCAATGGTTATTTATTTTTTATTTCTTTAAAGCTTGTTTAGTTTGTATTAACAGATCAGAAAGTTAATAACTTTGTTGTGTTTTAGGCCTAATGGCATGAAGTATGAGAAGGCAAAAGAATGGCGGATACCATGTGTCAATGTGTCATGGCTCTGCGACATCCTTTTGGGAAACTTTGAAGCTTTACGTCAGATTCAAAACAACCGGTATACAGTGTTCAACCTTCAGGATGCACTCTCTCCTTCACCACATCTGGTTTCAAACCTCCTTGGTATGAAATGGCTTTATCTTCTGGATTTTTAAAATTAATTTCAATACCCTTGTCTGAGTGCAAGCTCAGCCTAGTGGCTTAGTGATAGCTATGGTAGACCTCCTATTGTCCATTCGGTTCTAGTGATCAAGTTATGATCTTTTTGCTTGGATCATATAAGCAGGGCAGGTCTTATCCAGCAGAGGGGCAGCTAGATTGCAACCATACCCATGCCACTGTTGGCAGATGTTTGTTATAGTGACCCTGGGGCTATTCTGCCAGGTAAAGCTGGTCCCAGATTAGCCTTAAAGTTGAACTCCAGAATAATTAAATATTGTCTAAATACAAGAGCTGTGTATTCTTGCTTGAATCTTGGTCTGCTTTCTGTAA